CCATCAGACCTTCCTGCAAGTTTTTGTGGACCTGCTGAAAAGGCTGCCGAAACTTGTCGCCTCCCAGCTCGCCGCATCACTGCGGACGAATCGTCTTTGTTTCCGTTTTTGGATGTGGCTGAGAACGTGGCACTTAGACCAGCCTATCTTATTGCTCGCAACGCAGCTGTAGGTTTAACTTGGGTCTTTCTGAACTGTCCTTTATGGTCTACGCTATTTTGTGTTAAAATTGTTGGAGCCATTTATGTGGTTACGTTTAAACTACATTTAACCTTTCTTGCGATCAGTCTCAAATTCTGCCTTCTTCCAGTTAACCGGTCCCGCCCATTCTTTGAGTCACATATGAGTTGATTTGGTTCTCGCACCTATTCGTGCATTTCCACTATTTGAGGTCCTTTTTGGCCATTTGCCTACCCCTGAGCCAATGCTCTTTGTCAGCTCCTTAAGGTCATATTAATGCGCAATTGAAAGCATCTCCTTGTCAATCCACTTCCAATCCATTCGTTAAATTCAATTTGTTTAATGCTCTGCGCCATTGATCACTATTTAAGATATACAATCAACTCAACCTTAAAACGAGCTACTTATCCGTTTGAAAATCCCGCATCTTTCAATTTTTTTTGTTCCTTCATCCATCTGTTTTAATTTCTTTTATGAATTGTTCTCTAGCCTTTGGTTAAGCCACTTACATGTTCGTCCATTCGTTATTTTTTCTGTCAAATCCACAACTTTTAATATGTACTATTGGTTATGCTTTTCGATTAAGTTTATCCTTAATCCTTCTACTCGTCACGAATGTCCCTACCTTCCACCCTGAGCCATCTACCCTTCGCGAAGTCATATCTGATCACGTCTCTTTCTTCCACCCGCGTAGCTCTTTCAGACATCGTTAACGCTCCAAGTGCAAGAGTTTAGTAAATAATACACTATTTCCTGTCCTCATGCTAGATGTGGAAGTTATTTTTGGATTCGTAGTATATGCCAATGCATTCCACTGATTTCATGATAATCGTCTAATTATTTGAGTGAGTTGACAAATTAAAAGGTGAGATTTGATTTTTTTGTCCTTTTTCAGTGTCACATGTGGATGGAGGATCCTACAGTGCAGGTGACAACAGATCGTCTGATGGGCTATCTTGTCTCGTCAAGCAATGATCAAGCAGTATTTTGCATGCACTCAGCCGGTTTAACCGATCCTCCACTCACCAAGGACGATGATTCTCCTATCACATCTAACTGGTCAAGTCCGGTAGCGAGGCAGAACCTTGAAAGACTCGCCTACTTGGCCATCCTATTCCTTGAACGCTATGGATACATCAACATTGGCGCCTTCAAGCAATTAGCTGCACCTTTGACCCGCGCTGTTAAGCCGGCCTCAACTGATTTGACAGCGCGAAGGAGTGCTGACAAGCACACAGCCAATGTCACTGCACCCCTTAAGGTTATCATCTGTGGAGCTGGAGCAGCTGGGCTCATTGCGGCACGCCAACTGACATATTTTGGTGCTCAGGTCACTGTTTTTGAGGCTAGAGATCGAATCGGTGGACGAATTTGGACCTACAAGCAGGGCAACCAATTTGCTGACCTTGGGGCCATGATCATAACGGGAATGTGTACGTTTAATTTTTCACTCCTATCAAAGTCACCTCCAACTGAAGCCCTTGTAATTGAATTGTCCTTTTTTTCCCATTTTAGCTGGAAATCCGTCTACGATTCTGGCAAAGCAGGGTGGGCTGATGCTGGTTCCCATTAATCCATGCTGCACGCTTTATACATCGTCTGGACGACCCGTCTCCCAGGAAAAGGACGCCCGGATCGAGAAGGAGTTTAACCGCATTTTAGCGACTGCTGGACACATCGCTGTTAAGGACCCAGAGAATTCGGCCGGAAAGTCACTCGGCCAGGTGATTGAAGATCTTATTCGGTGGGTTTATGATCGTAAATTACTTTTTAGACTTATTTTGAATAATCTGTTACTCTTGTGTATAACTACTGACGGCATTTAAGTAGCGCGTCACTAGTTACTGTAATCGGATTTGGTGCCTTGAATGTGCTTTTTTTTTCTTTTGTATCAGTTTCCAAGAGCATCGTATTACTCCCCTGAAGATCAGTCATCGGAACCTCGTTTCAATTCTCCTGCGTCGAAAAGCCAAGATTTTAAACGAGGTTAGTGATTGGGTTGCA